TTTTACAAAAATCGAACTATTTTGAAGCTTACTGCATGAGATAACGTCAATAATGTACATTGGAGTATCAATTTTCGTATTTTAGAATATTTTTATTGTAAAACCAAAAAGAAATCAAACGAAACAACCAATTTTCAAGTTTTTTGACTTGGTTAACGTATAAAGAACGTTAATTTTATGAAATCTTAAAAATTAGTATAATTCGAAAACGGCTAATTTTCGGTCAGTAGTTCCTATAGTAAAATCGACTCAGATTGGCTTGTACTATCTCCCCCCCACCGGCTCCGCATCTATTTTCCCGTCACCCTGTATGTTTTAAATGTTTTTCAAATAAAAAATTCGTTGTGCCTGAAAAAAATGTGGCAACCTCATTTTTGAAACAAACTTCGTAGAAAGCACACATCACTACAGTATATTCAGATAAGAGATAGACCGGACATAAACAAGACCACGTGATCATCGAACGCTGTAACATTCGGCAGGGACGTATTAAGAGTCACGCAGTACATATTTTAGATAGTAGATGCTGCTTTGCGTAACTTTGTAGTAAATTAGCACAATTCGATGTGTATACGATTGGTGATGGATATAGGATCATGTGGGGGTGGGGTAAGAAATATATAATGATGTAAATATACATAAGGGTTTCAAAATTTTCGCTTCGATTTCCAGCTTCGGATGCCGCCTGATGTTTGGTGAAATACAGTCGAATATAATCTCAAAATGGCGTTTAAATTAGCCTAAATTAAAAATAATCGTATATCTCTTAAAATTGCTTTTAGAATATTGATTAGTATATTTTTTGATTTCTAGGTAAATATGTAACCAAATTAAAACGTTCAAAACGTAAAAAAATGTGCATGGTTGAACATTGTCAGAAAGTCAGAATAGGTTTTGCCAAAATGGGTTCAAAAATGTCAATAATTAATTAAAAAATACAGTAGCTTTATAATTACTTATAACTTACCGAATTTGATGAACGACATCTTTTATTGGAAAGATGAGCTTGATGAGCTTTCATCATCGCTACTGCCTGAAGCACCAACGTCAATAATGAATGGCTCGACTTGTTCCTCTAAAATATTGTCCAGTTCCCACATTCTCTTTTCAACTTTGTCTTTCATGTGCTTAATACAGTTTTCCCATTTTTGCGCTGTTATTAATTCTAGTGCTTCTTTGAAAAGTCCTTTGAGGTCACAAAATTTAAAAGTTGTATTGGGCTTAGCTATATAATTTTTAACCTCTGCCCATATAATAGGATTGAGCTCGCAATGGTATGGAGGTAAACGGAGCACAGTTTTATTTTGACTTGCTGCCATTTCGTCAATGGCGTATTTTTGATATTCCGCCTTGTGATCCTTGACAATTCTTAATAATTGTACTTTCAGCATTGCTTCTTCAAAGTTGATATTTTTCGAGCGGAGCCAATTTTGAACATCAACTTTCCTTGAAGCCGTTGTTGGGACCTTCTCCATTCTTCGAGAATGATAAGGCGCATTATCCAACACAATTACTGCGTTTTCCTCTAAGTTCGGTAAAATTTTTGAAAACCACTGTTCAAACGATTCGCCATTCATTTCCTCGTGGTAATCTCCAGTTTTCTTAGACTCAAAGCACCACAGACCGTCAACAACAAATCCATCGTCACTGCCAATATGGCAGATAATGAGCCTTTTCCCTTTACCTGGAAATCGAAGTACTAACTGGTGTAGATTTATTTCAATAAGCGAACCTTTTTCAAATGTTTTCATCACATTCAGCGAAAAAACATTGAGACATGAGTATCAGATTGCTATAATTGGGATTATTTAGTCATATTGAAAGAAAGAATATTGAACGTCGTATGATTACTCAGCGCTTCACAATTTATGTTTACCTTTAAAAAATGAATGATCAGGAACCTGAAATACGCGCAAATATTAATATTAACAAATTATAACTTTATAAAGCTTAAAGTATGAATTAAAATGATTAGAAATATTAGGAACGGTACACAATATAAAACTTAGTAACTTTTTTTAAGTTTATAATATTCGAAATATTTTAAGATTATATTAAAAAATTATTGAAATATCGAAAACACATAAAAACATGGCTTAAAAAAGTTCTAACAAATGAAAATGACAATAAAACATCCACGCATTTTATCGAAAGTTATAAAAGTTTTGTTACTTGTAATATGTTTTATCTGCCCCCTGGAATTAATGTTTAGAACCTTGTTCCCAAGGTTTGAAAAACATCCGATTGTTGTCTATTACTCGTATTTACCTGCTGGATTTTTTAATCCGGTGGACAGTCCATCTAGAAAGGCCCTCCTGGATGAAGTTACAGAATCATCAACCCATACTTTACTTGTAGTGTGTCCTGCGTTTACCCACGTTTCATCGAGGTAATAAATCTTCCTGTTATGATTTCTATATTTCCCAATTTTTGTTAAATAATCCCTCCTCCATAGCACAATTTCTTCTCTATCCAGTAGTAAACTATTACGACCCCGTTTTTTCCATTTGAAATTTAAATGCTTCAGTAACGCATGGAAAGTTGATCGTTTGAAATTTGGCAACGTTGTATCTCCATTTACCTCCTGCAGTACTTTATCTATAGTAGGTATTTCATTCCTAAAGAAGAATTCATGCACTTTCCTCCTAATCGCATGCTTATCAGCTTCATCCAATGATTTAACAATACTTTTGCGATGTTTACTGGTCATTGGCTCAACAATTTCTTTGATGGTTGATGCCTCGTTCTCCTCGCGCTCGATCTCATATATATTCAAAATGACCTCTTTCATTTCTGCACTCAGGTGTCTTTTTTTAGAGCGTTTCCTAGGTGGACTACAGGAGTTTACAACTTCATCGGCAGTATCTGTACTACTGGGCATTTTGCGCAAGCAGTTGATAGCAATAACAATCAATAACAAGGTATAACAATAACAACGACAAACTCAACAACTTAATAAGATAACAAACGAAAACGTCCAAAGAAATATCAAATTGCAATGATGCACACGACATACGTAACACGTCTGAACCTGAATGTGACTCTGCCTTGATACGACTGCTCTGCCGCTCGGCATAGGCATTTAATTGCGAATTGACCAATGAGGGCTCCTGTTTTACGTCGAGACGGCGGCGTTAGCGTGAAAATCACCCGAACCTTTTGTTTACATCCGGTCTATCTCTTATCTGAATATACTGTAGACTGGACTAATAATCTAAAGGGACTAGCTTGACTCGAGTTACATTTACATGGATAACTTCCTTTGACCGTGAATCATCGAAGATAATTTTATTTATGAATAGCCTGTCCATTTTCTCCTATTCAGTATCAGATGTATGCATGCGAGTATTTAGATAAGGATAGGCGGTTATGAACGATAAGATAGCAGATATCGTAGTAAAACAAACCTTACTAAATATTGATCGAAACACCGATACACTCATTGCGCCAACTAAATGTTTCCTTTCTAGAAATACTGTTAGTTAGGCGATGAGTTATGATCCGATTTTCAATTAAGTTACGTACAGTTATTTCAGACAATTTAGTTTACACCGTTTAAAATGTTGGCGAGGATTCATTAGCGTTGTACTTTAACTGGAGATTTCCGGTTTCGTATACAGGGTATTCGAAACTGTCCGGTTCAAGTACTGAATACATGATAGTTATTTACGTAACTACGGCGTAAAGAGAGCGATTGTGGCATGCGGCGTGAAATTAGAGACGCCAAGGAACATAAAAGCTTGTTACGTCCTAGACGTTTACATAGTTTTTAGAGTTTTTTTTTTCATCCTAATTTTCGCCAATTTACAAAAGTCTAATTAGTTTGAAAAAAATGCGCAGGGTTCAACAGCCGATGACATTGGAAATAATTCGATATAAAATGTCTAAAAAAATTGAATTTTGAAATTTGGAAATCACTTTGGATTTGGACAATAGTTGTAAAATTAGGAAAATAAGATTTGGATATTTTAGAAAATTTCTGGAAATTTAGATTTTTTTTAAATTTCCAAATTTGAAAAAATTGATCGTGAATTTAGATTAATTGACAAATATAAAAAAATACAAAAAATCGAGGCTCTTGATTGTAAGTACTTTTGTTATTACGAGTCAAAAAATTCAGAAAATAAACTATAGTTTACATAACCTAAAAACACGCTTTAATAGCAAATATAACTAAAAAATAGAAAACGCTCATATACTAGAAAATTATTTTCTATTTTTTTTGTTCGATTTGCTATTAAAGCGTGTTTCTTTTTAGGTTTTTTAAACTATAATTTATTTCATTACTTACCTGAGAAATCACCATTTTTAACCGTATTCCTCTAAGGAAAGATCAACATTTCTTCCCCCACGTGAATGTTACCTTCTTTGGCTCGCTGGTCCCAGAATTGTCAAATGCTAATAATCTACTACAAGTCAATAGAGTCTATTTCATAAATGAATTCTTGTTGTTGATTGTATTTATTTTTGCCATTATTTTGACAGCCTTTGACAGTCCCATACTACTTAATAAGTTGGAGTGCATATTTGAAAATGCGAGGGAAACGACTGACGTGTCGACCTACGTAAAATCTTTGTGTGCTTTATATAGACAGTGTTGCCAGATGTTCAGAAAATTCTCAGATTTGCTATATTCCAAAGCATACCCAAATTGACTGTGATAATATGTAATATATATCGCAATAATGGAAAAATTCTTTACATACCTCGGCAGACAGAGCCATTATTGTACTTCTACACCAAGCTATATAATAAACTTTATCATTTACGGCAAGGTTAAAATCAGAAGTTTCAAGTGCATTCAAAAATAAAAATATATTCACCGCACTATTTTGAATAAAGACAGCTCCCGCATTCGCCATATTGTGTTCAAAATAGGTTAATTTGTAGATAGCGGGTGTGAACGCCACTTTACCGCCCTAGGGTGAAAAGGGGTCCGTGAGTTGAAAATGCTTTACAGTAAATCAAAAGAAATCAGTATTAAACGCTTTTTGACTTACCTTGTCCCATGAAGTACTTCCTGTAGTACAACGCCCCTCTGTCCACGTTTTCAATAGGCCTCGGAAACCGCTGATATGGACAAGTCGAATGCCGCCAGTGGGTTTCGCCTGGGGGGAATTCAAGCACAGCCACTCCGTACGCCAATGGCGGCCTATAACAAAACGACGTGTTCAGGATCTTATATGCAAGTATGACAGCACTAGCTCAATAGTACTGACCTAGTGGTACGACATGTAACTCTATATTTATTCTAATGTACGCATCTAGACGTTTCTACAAACTGCCTTTGTTCGAGATGAACAATCCTATACGGCGCGGGATGGAAACGTCCAGGATGATCTGAATATATTGTTGAAGCATCAACAGCATCTTGAAGACAATCATTGTAAAATAATACCAATTCAACAAGTTGCATTGTCATTTTTGATTTTTCAAATTCCGAGTTATAAATAAATCAGTTCAGTATTGTTTTGACCGAGACAAATGAGTTTTAAAAAACGTATAGGTATTCTACTGTACACATCTCGACGTCTCTACAAACTGCCTTTGTACGAGATGAACAACCCTATGCGGAGCGGGATGGAAACGTCCAGGATGATCTGAATATATTGTCGAAGCATCAACAGCATCTTGAAGACAATCATTGTAAAATACTACTAATTCAACAAGTTGCATTGTCATTTTTGATTGTTCAAAATCCGAGTTATAAATAAATCAGTTCGGTATTGCTTTGACCGAGACAAATGAGACTTAAAAAACCTATAGGTATTCTACTGTACACATCTCGACGTTTTTACAAACTGTCTTTGTACGAGATGAACAACCCTATGCGCCGCGGGATGGAAACGTCCAGGAAGATCTAAATATATTTTTGAAGCATGAACAGCCTCTTGAAGACAATCATTGTAGAATAATACCAATTCAACAAGATGCAATGTCAATTTTGATTTTTCAAAATCCGAGTTATAAATAAATCAGTTCGGTATTGATTTGACCGAGACAAATGAGACTTAAAAAATCTATAGGTATTCTAATGTACGCATCTAGACGTTTCTACAAACTGCCTTCGTACGAGATGAACAACCCTATGCGGTGCGGGATGGAAACGTCCAGGATGATCTGAATATATTGTCGAAGCATCAATAACATCTTGAAGACAATCATTGTAGAATAATACCAATTCAACAAGATGCATTGTCAATTTTGATTTTTCAAAATCCGAGTTATATATAAATCAGTTCGGTATTGCTTTGACCGAGACAAATGAGACTTAAAAAAGCTATATGTATTCTATCGTAGGCATCTAGACGTTTCTACAAACTGCCTTTGTACGAGATGAACAATCCTATGCGGCGCGGGATGTAAACGTCCAGGGTGATCTGAATATATTGTTGAAGGATCAACAGCATCTTGAAGACAATCATTGTAAAATAATATCAATTCAACAAGTTGCATTGTCATTTTTGATTGTTCAAAGTCCGAGTTATAAATAAATCAGTTCGGTATTGTTTTGACCGAAACAAATGAGGCTTAAAAAAACTATACGTATTCTAATCTACGCATCTAGAGGTTTCTGCAAACTGCCTTTGTACGAGATGAACAATCCTATTCGGCGCGGAATGGAAACGTCCAGGATGATCTGAATATATTGTCGAAGCATCAACAGCATCTTGACGACAATCATTGTAAAATAATATCAATTCAACAAGTTGCATTGTCATTTTTGATTGTTCAAAGTCCGAGTTATAGATAAATCAGTTCGGTATTGTTTTGACCGAGACAAATGAGACTTAAAAAACCTATAGGTATTCTACTGTACACATCTCGACGTTTTTACAAACTGCCTTTGTACGAGATGAACAACCCTATACAGCGCGGGATGGAAACGTCCAGGATGATCTGAATATATTGTTGAAGCATCAATAGCACCTTGAAGACAATCATTGTAGAATAATACCAATTCAACAAGATGCATTGTCAATTCTGATTTTTCAAAATCCGAGTTATAAATAAATCAGTTCGGTATTGCTTTGACCGAGACAAATGAGACTTAAAAAGCTCTAGGTATTCTAATGTACACATCTCGACATTCCTACAAACTGCCCTTGTACGAGATAAACAATCCTATGCGGCGCGGGATGTAAACGTCGAGGGTGATCTGAATATATTGTTGAAGGATCAACAGCATCTTGACGACAATCATTGTAAAATAATATCAATTCAACAAGTTGCACTGACATTTTTGATTGTTCAAAGACCGAGTTATAGATAAATCAGTTCGGTATTGCTTTGACCGAGACAAATGAGAATTAAAAAAACTATATGTATTCTATCGTACACATCTCGACGTTTTTATAAACTGCCTTTGTACGAGATGAACAACCCTATGCACCGCGGGATGGAAACGTCCAGGAAGATCTAAATATATTTTTGAAGCATCAATAGCATCTTGAAGACAATCTTTGTAAAATAATACCAATTCAACAAGTTGCATTGTTATTTTTGATTTCTCATAGTCCGAGTTATAAATAAATCAGTTCGGTATTGTTTTGACCGAGACAAATGAGACTTAAAAAAACTATACGTATTCTAATGTACACATCTCGACATTCCTACAAACTGCCATTGTACGAGATGAACAATCCTATGCGGCGCGGGATGGAAACGTCCATGGTGATCTCAATATATTGTTGAAGCATCAACAGCATCTTGAAGACAATCATTGTAAAATGATACCAATTCAACAAGTTGCATTGTTATTTTTGATTTCTCGAAATCCGAGTTCGGTTTGCCGTGCTATGCCTGGGTTAAATAATAACGCACGTCGCATCTTCTCACTTAATCCTTGAGGCAGCGCCGGATTTGAAATTCCAGATTTTTCGGAAGCTAGTAATGTTAGTAGGAAAATTTGCTCATTGTTGCAAAAACTATATGCTGAGTAAAGAAAATTCCTCGCATTTAGAACGCCCTGTTATGCTTGAGTTAATAAGAAAGCGAAAAACATAAAACTGTAAAATTTCTGCACATACCTGTGAAGGGGCGCTGAAGCACCTCTAGCCGCCCCCGTAGGTTGCAACCTACTCAGGCTGACCGCCCTTTCTTCCTCGCCCCCGATTTCGTTTCTAAAGAAGGGACAGGAAGCCACCAGCTCGTTTTGTCTTCCATCGCCAGGGTCGTCGTCCTCGCCGGAAGGCAGGCCGCCATTGCTAGTGGCTCCCTCTGGTGTTGAAGAACGGATTAGCATCGAGGCTGCCGAAGCACCTGAAATAAAAAGCAATCGAAGAATTATCAAAATTAGGTCCACAAAAAATGTATCGCACTAAGGGTAGTTGAGTACGCAAACGTTCTGCAAGAGGACACATAAATATGTCAACCGTCAATTATGAAAAACTGTCAATGCGCTAGTGACACGAATTTCTGTTTTATCATGAATCATTCTCATCGGCAGGATTATTACGTAAAATATAGTTGCTATTGCTCGTTGTGAGCGTCACCCTAGCCCCATCTATGGAGAAATGAGTCAACGACATGCTAGCGTGCTTTGTTGGTTGCAGAATGCAGAGATACTCTGTAGAGTATGTATCTCTGAGAATATGTGGAAGAACGAAAATTAGTTGAAATCTTTTTCATGCCTACCCGTAGCGGTGTTTCTCCTTTTCGCCAACAGATTCCTCCTCAACCTAACCGCAAAATTGAGGTTGGTCGTAAGCGACTGACAGTCATAATGCGCGAACGCTCTCCGCCTAGCTATCTCCTCAGCTTCGGCGGCTGCCAACGTATTGACAGTTCCCGTGCAGCTGTCATCCAACGTGGTCGCTCCTGATTGGTGCTGATGCGCCGATGGATGTTGTCTTTGGTTCTTTGAAGTGCCGTTAGTGGTACCGTTGCTTGTGGGGGTGGCGCCGTTCGGCACAGAGCCGTTTGCTGGAACAAAATGGCGTCGTTTAAGAAATCGTCATATAGAAGTTTCAGTTATATATGAGGATAAAAATGTACTAAGTTCAGTTTAAGTTAATGCAGTTTCTATTAAAATCTCAGCTCAAAGTTTGCGTTAAGGAATCGGGTAAATTGGTAAAAATTCATCAAACCCAAACCGTCATCCTGCTGCCGCTTGCAAAATAATAATCATCCGTAACAGCTGTTGCTTCTTCATCTTCAGGCTATGCTCCTACCTCTCTCCCGCCATCTTGCGCTTTCGGCAACCGTTTATAAAATACCCATAAACACCTGCACTTATAATTAGTTAACCTTGAAACTCACCGTTCGCCCAGAAGTGTCTCTTCAACTTATCCCTCAGCTTCGGGCTATGGGCCGCCCTCTCCCCACCGTCGTGCGCATCCTCCCCGCTCCCGGCAGCCACTCGGAGGTACTCGGCCGGCCCCGGCGACCGCTGGTCTCCGCCCACCAGCCCGGCCGGCCTATAGTCTTGCAGCATTTTGAAGAACTCGTTGCTGGCGTTGCAGGTGCCGCTCGCCCCGCCCACTGTGGGTCGGTCGATCACGTCGATGCTGCCGTGGCTGCCGTACTCGCGACGGAGGGTGGGCGAGTCCGAGGACGTTGTGCGACCGCTCTGAAACAACAATGGAACAGATTAAACAATGTTATATTCACCGGAATATAAAGACATCTACGGATAGAAATCGGAGATCGTTGGACCTCACGAGGTAACTACAGATCGCAAGCAAAATCCATTGCGCCAACGGATGTCAGAGGTTGGCAGATAAACTTTCTATACATTTTACTTCCCACGCCTTTGGCGAGGAAGTACTGTAATCGCTAACAGTTTTGAAAATGAGATGTGAGAATATCCAACTAGATATAAAATGCGCTTAAGCCCGCCGAGACGAAGGTTCATTTATACCATTTATGTATGAAAAATAATATCGCTCAAATGTTCACCACGACTGGATTTACAGACGTCCACGCGATGGTCGAAATTTTCAATGACATTTTGCAACGTGGTCGGTTCTATGGCATTTATCTCGGCAATGATGTTGTTTTTGAGTTCTTGGAGGGTGGCTGGTTTGTTGACGTAGACTTTGCTTTTCAAATATCCCCATAAAAAGAAGTCCAAGGGAGTCAAATCGCACGATCTTGGTGGCCATGGCACATTTCCTCTGCGCGAAATCACGCGATCACCGAAGAAGGACTGCAATCGATGGATATTGACGTTGGTTGTGTGGCATGTTGCACCGTCTTGTTGGAAATAAACATCGTCCATATCCATTCCTTCAAGTTGCGGCAAAAATAGTCCTCTATCATTACGTGATATCGCTCAGAATTGACGGTAACGGCATCCCCGGCTGCATTTTCGAAAAAGTAAGGTCCGATGATGCCTTTTGACCACAATGCACACCACACAGTCACTTTTTGAGGATGCATCGGCTGCTCTTGATACTCACGGGGATTTTCGTTCGCCCAGATGCGGCAGTTTTGCTTGTTTACCGTCCCATTCAAAGTGAAATGCGCTTCGTCGCTGAACATGATTTTTGATGAAAAATTGGCATCAATTTGGCGGTGTTCAAGGAGCCAATCTGAGAACGTTCGGTGCGAAAAATGGTCGGCCCGACGCAGCTCTTGCGTCAATTGGATCTTGTAGGCGTGTACATATTCAAATCCTTGTGGAGAATGCGGAGCAAACTGGTTCTCGAAATGCCCAATTCTTGGGATCGACGCGTTGTTGATTGTTTCGGATCGTCTCTCACACTCTCCTTCACAACAGCAATATTTTACCAGTGTGCGAACGCTCCTTGGCCGGCCAGAGCCTGGCAGATTTGCCACAGAACCTGTTGCCTCAAATTTACGCACCAGACGACCGATGGTTGTTTCGTTTGGGCGGTTGTTGCGACCGAAATGTTCACGAAGCGCGCGAAACGTGTTTTTTATTTTTGCACCATTTTTGTAGTGCTCTTGAATAACTTTAATGCGGTCTTCAATCGAATACGACTCCATAGCGATCAATGGTAAACATTCAACTAACAAAATGACATGTCGGTGACAGAAAACAAAGATGGCGTCTATGTCAAATTGACGTTTACTTTCCTGCGTCCCTTTATATGGAAAGTGAAATTTTTATCAAGCTTAATGATGGCATTTGGATTGAGTATTCAAAGGAAAACGACCCTAATCCTTTCAGAACTGATGACAGCATTGCGTGGAAGGTGCTTGACGCCATTTTTTTAACCGTACTAACGAGCTACTTACCGAATGGTGATCCAACAGCTCCAAACTCGAATTACTCCTACACAGATAATCCTGTGGCGCCAACTGCCGTCCCTGTCCTCCGACCTGCCCCGTCCTCACCAAATGGTGATGGTGTCGATGCCTATCGTTGAACGACGACCTGGCCGAGTCCCTCGCCGCCCATGCGCGCGACACGCGCGTGTTGTAGTAATCGACCGCTAGGGCGGCGCGATCGCGCGCTCGGGAGGGCGTAGACGGCTGAGTGGGCGGGGCACTGGACGCGCTGATGGGCGGCGCCCCACACGACAGGGACGGACCACCGTTGCATTCTTGCAGGCCGATCATCCCATCACGCTGCAACAAAAAGAGAAACAGTCATTAGTATGATACAGTCTGTCTCGAAGTAGGAGATAACGCCCCCTTATGGGCGCTGGAGTTAAACAGGAAGCGAGTGTAGAGTAAATTGAAGGGGCGATTAATTGATTTGTGAGGATTAAGCTATGGATAAGACTCACATATCATACTAGATATATCTAAATAATTTCGAGGGCTGCTAAAAAGTTTGACAGCTTATAAAATTTATATCTGAGGTAAATTCTTGTCTTTTTGCAGTTTTTTCCGCTCAGTAGATCTGAAGAATATATAGGATGGTTCAAATTCGATTCGCAATTGGGAGCATGTTAGAAAAAAATGAGCTTGCGATTTTGAAATAACCGAATAATAACTAACCAATACATCGATCTCTTTATCGTTATTAAAAATAGTAACCGATGTGGCATTTTTTAAGAAACACAACAAAAAGCTTCAAGGGAAACTGTTCAAGCAGAATCTAGTTGGAATCGACCACCAAAAATAGCGGCGGTATAATTTTTTCCTAGTCATACAGTTATCTTGAGAAGAATCCATAGTGATATGAAGTTTTTTCATATGTCTACGTACTGAACCCGCCATTGAATTTTCTTGATAACTTTTAGTGACTGAAGAAATGCAAGCGTCAAAGATACATAACTCACTCTAACACTTTATAACAACTCTATATTTCGATTTGTAAAAGCGTACTAGCTACTAGAATTTTCCTATCGAGAAACTTCTCTTGTCTACTGCGTGCGAAGTAAAAACCTTGCTCGAATAACAGTGTGTTTTCCTAATAACAATGACAATTACAGTTTTCCAGTGAACCAATAAAGGATCCATAAAATACACATTAACCCATTATCAGGGTGATATGAACAGAATCACCAGCTGTGCTTTACAGGATGTTCGGGGCAATTTAAGTGTCAATATAGCCAGTAATAACTTTTAGAAAAAGATAAAGCCAAGGTAATTTCAGAGGTATGCTTTTTTCAGATAGCGTTGTTCAAACACGGGTGACGTAATGCGGCAAGCCATCTGTTTGTTAAAGATTCATATTTCTAAAACATCTGCCTCACTTCGTTACATGATTGTTTATATTATCTGGCGTATCTGGAGTTTTTTCAACGCTCACGTTGGCACTAACATGCTGTAAAGACTACCGAAGTAAAGTCACTTACATATTCGAACTTCTTAAGGTATGCGCTTAGTCAGAATGATTGTTGCTGTTTATAGTTGTTTACATCTGTAAGCATACGAAATACCGTCTAGTACAAAAAATCTGGTTAATGTCACCCAAAACGATCGCCCTTAAGCCTGTTTATGTTCCTCCTCTGGGCAATTGTTTCCAAGGTGAGCTTTCATTGGGGTCACATACACGCGGAAGGGTACAACAGTCACTTCTAAAATCAAGTTGTGCGCGTTGTGACGTGTTCCAATCCGACGTGTGGTTCCAGCAGGATGGGGCGACCGGCCACACAGCCCGAGCATCCATGGACGTTATTCGCCCTCTCTTCCCTGGTCGCCTTATTTCCAGGTTTGGCGATGTTCATTGGCCTCCTCGGTCCTCAGATTTATCCATATGCGATTTTTTCGTATGGGGACACCTCAAGGCTAGAGTATACGCGAACAAGCCTCGAACTCTGGACGAATTGAAGGGCGAAATTCGCGTGGAAGTCGCCCAAGTTGAGAAAGCGATCTTGGAGAGAGTTTACGCGAACTTTTAAGAACGCCTCCAGCACTGCATCAACGATTTCGGCAACCACATGCCTGATGTGATTTTCCGCACTTGACTGTCTAAAATGCTATTTCCTTGTGAACCTGATTCCATCAATAAATTTGTTTTCGAGTAGACATTAACTATTTTATGATTTTTTTAAAACCGTCCATCCTCTATGCCGCACCCTGTATTTATAAAGATGCTTCCATCATATATCTACATTTCTATTAATTGGGCAGATTCGGTCGAGCTCATGAAGATGGAGTGGGAGATGACACGGCGGTGCATGCAGCCTCGCCGACCGTCTGTCTTAGTTCGGCTTTCTGAAGTCCGAGTATGCGCGATAAATGAACTATAGGTTACCTATAACCATACGAAAAAACTTGTCTCATACTGATGTGAACCTACTACTCCTAGTCTATACACTATATCACTAATTGCTAGTGTTATGCGAGGAAAACGGTATAGCGCTGTTTACACAGAAAGAATACGCCAGCCATTTCAGATAACATGGTGTTTTCTCATCGAGTATTTTCCCACTGGCAGGCTGTTTATTGTTATTAAGACGGTTTGTATGTTGAAGGCTTTTGTCTTCTGCAGATGAGTTAAAATTGAGCTTTTCCACGATCTGCGTATCTTTCATCGTCAGATTAAGTTTTTCACTAGTTGATCTTTATTATGCTCGAGCTACAAGGCTGTATTTTTAACTGTTATAAATATTATTCCCTGCGACAAAGAATTATAAAATTTGTATTAAATCCTACTTTGGTAAAAAATAATTGATACACACCTCTTGAAACTAATGTTGCAATCGTGCATATTTTATTTTCTATGTAAAAACCAGTGTAAATAAAGGCTGTCCTTAAAGTTTTTGTTGTCTTTTCCTGTAGTAAAATACCAAAATTGATGACAGTAGCGAAACTCATCGTACGCCACTGCTATTACGCGGAGGCCTTCGAAAATGCGGCGCTTCTTTGCGAAATGTCGGTAAACGTCGCTGTAATCAAAAGGTACAGCGTCAAAGCAGTGGCGCACGATGGCTTATGCTACTGTCATCAATTCTGGTATTTGACTATAGTAACACAATTTTAAGAATTCCGAGATATTATCTTCTGAAAAACTCTAAATGGGCCTGCCTTCCTCAAAGGGTATGATGTTTTATGGTACTATGACTACGTGAGTAGGTCTCCAAATCGGGTTTGTAGGTAAACAAACCGGATTTGAAAGCCGAAATTGGCACATTCCTACAGCACCCAACTAGCAAAGTAGTGTTATAAGCTTTTGGTAAAAGAACCCTTCAGCCATAAAAGCTCTCTATTGTTGTTGCCTAAACACCAAAATGTGGAATGCAAATTTGCTTTCTGCAACATATTTGCTCTAAAGTGAGGTGTTTAAAATATTCTTACAACATAGTTAGACAACACCTTAAAGGGCAAATTGTTAACTGTTGCATAAACGTTTATACAACTATTTTATACGGCATATTTGCACGTTAGTCAAAATGGTTGTGTTGTGGCATCCATGCTAACGTTTATAAAATAAACCCGAGCCTTGTTTTGCTGTGCAATTTAGTACTTTAGCCAACAAATTGCTCCCAACGGAAGCACTTATACAACTGTTGTTTAGTAACTGTTAAATGCTATACATATGCTAAATATGTTGGTATACAACTTCACCATAACCTAACTTTCTGCTGTCATATTTTTGTTAAAATGCCATGACCAATGTTTTAAGACAAACAACGCATGCATATTGGTTCAAAATTTTTTATCAACTGTTCAAACAGAAGATATAGATCTGGTAAATTCTGGGTAAATCATTCGACTCTGTCGGTATTTCATTTCAGACATTTCTCAAATTGTTGTATAACACCTGCAGGCAACACCAAAATATTCTAATAACCTAAAGACAACATGGACGATGCCATGATTATACACAACCACCCGCCATATTGGGTAAACATTTATTCCTCTATTTAATATTAAATAATTATGTTTCAGATCGAAATTACAGATATAAAGTGATAAACATTATTGTAATTGTGTCTAAATATAGGATTTGTGGAAGATTTAGCCCGTAGAAATTGCGTAACTAATCACAATAAAATTTGCCGCGCAAGTAATTCAATAGCCCTAAATCACAGTGTAGAAGTTTATCATATAGGTATCTGTGTATGAAATTCACAATGGCCGATATGTAAGTAAACAAGATGACTGTAATGTGTTAGTTAAATAAAATAATAAATAATAGTTATATTCTTCTTCGTCTATACAATACATAAGATATAGATATAGTTTGGTTGCAATAAAGTAGAATCACGTAACAGAATAGTTGTATAGTTGACAAAAACTGAATCTTGCACTGACGCAAATGTCCTATAGCGGCAGCAAGAGGCTTACACTTTTGTTGTATAACTGTTACCTGCAGCCCTTATACAACCTCTTAAATGACTGAAGTGTCCTATTAGGTGTGCCCATTCCGCTTGTATAGCAGTTCTAAGAGGGTTTTGCCAATGTTCTTACACTATACAATGCTGTTTAAGGAATACCGTATAATCATTTTCGCAACTCTAATAGGAGTGATAATTGTTAGTTGTTGTTGATGTAATGTTAGTTTATTCTCGGAGTCTTTCTAGATTATATTGATACTCCGCGAGTGTATTCGAGTATTCAGGACGTCGCCGTCGTCCTCGATATTTCCATCAGAGTTGCACAGGTTTGTTTATATCGTACAAAGGCCGTCTGGAAGGACACAGTAGCAGACCTAGGCAGCCTCAAATTTTGCAAATTTACGGAATAAGTTCTTTGTTTTTTAATAGAACAGCGACAACTTCAAGCAGTGATTACAAACAAAACACGGGACAGGGCAGTTACGTTTTTGGTGCTGTTTACCGCAAAAAAATTCCTAACTTTCAGGACATCCTGTACTCACGTTCTTTTAGATCGTACTTTGACTAGTTTTGCACATATTGCACGACCTGAAAGAGCACGTTCTGGTGTTATCAAATGTCAGCGTTGTATCACAGTTTACACAGATTTTACTAGTAGCTTTGCAGATAGCCATTATTTCGTGTATTTCTCTTCTCTCCTTCGAAAATCTACCGTAACAACGGAAAGGTGAACAAAATAAAAGAACATGTTTCATTGACAGATGGAAGCACGAGACGCGAAATGACAGAAGTTTTATTTTCTTTCGAGCACAAATTTATTACGAACATTGAAATCGCACCAGTTTTAACAAAAGGAAACGCGATAAGTATATTTTTATCTTTGCTTTATACAGCACTAATCCAAAATGTAACATTTCTTGGTGGCTTGCAATGAAACCCATTGTAATTAAAGACAATATATCATTCATTGAACAAATGAATAATCAATGCTGGATCGCCTTTTATTATTAAATACAAGGTCATAGAAATACTCGTTGAATATATCTGATTATAATGTCACTACCAATAACGAAGAAATGATACTGGTAGTAGCTATACAGGGGACGTAAGTTAAATCAAGAGATAGGCTAAAAAAATCAAACGTCAAATTGCTTATGGTGATAGTGATACTACAACATTTAGGTTCCGCCTTAGCGATTGTAAAAAAGCAGCGTACGTCTATCTTGACATGAAGGGTCATCTATGTACTGAGCCATGAAATTTCAATCAATCTGAAATGTTACATAGATTATGTTACATATATGAGCAACTATACAGGGTGTCCGCAAAGTTGGAGTTTTCCTTTTCAGAAACAACTACCCTTGAAATAACAAAGGTAATGTGTAGTGAAACGAGGGCGACCAAGTAAAAAAAAAATAAAGGAAAAAGTACTCACTCTCCAGTTGACGAGAAGGGCTAAGTACGTCTCTGCCCGAAATCATACCGCTCCAACAGAAAATGAAATCAGCTGATGCGCTACCGAGCAGACACAGGCAAACAAGGAAGGCAAAATGTTGCGTAAAAAGTCTAGGTATTGCATCCCGTCCAATCGATTTGGGAGAATACATGGTCCAATGAGCATACCGTTCACCATGCCAGCCCAAACATTCACTGAAAATGTTTGTTGAAAATGTGCCCGACGCACAGCGTGCGGATTTTCTACTGACCAAACATGAGTGTTGCGAAAGTTATTCACCCCATTACGCGTGAACGTAGATTCGTCTGTCACCAATATGCACTTCAAAAAGTCCGGATTATTGTCATGTTGATGCAACAACCACTCACAAAACCGCACTCTTGCTGGAAAATCGTCAGGTTGAAGGGCTTGTACCCGTTGGACGTGAAACGGATACAGCCCCTCATCACGCAGCGTTTGCCACACTTTAGTTTTTGATACTTGCACTTCTCTAGCCACGTCTCTAGTGCTTGTTGAGGGATTCTCGTCTACGCGATTACCTCTACACGCGTGACCGTAACCGTCGGTTGAAGTTTGCATACTGACCTGACACACTGACCCCGATCCAGTTCTGTCGTCGGGTTGAGCTAGTGTCCTAGTACCACTCGGGGATGTCGCGGCTACAGGACGGTATTCAGATATTTTTGATGTTGCAGAGCCCTTTACCTCGGTTCCCTTAAGACATTGGTGTATATGGTACTAAGAAAAATTGCTTATGTTTTCAAGATCTACACGTCGTGTAAAGGAAAACCCCAACTTTGCGGACACCCTGTATATGAGCATATAGCTACAACGCCATGAATGAGACACTAGCGTTTTCAAAGTAGATTTTTAATTAGTACGGAAAGCTCTGACAAATTCTTATCGATGACGCTACAGTATATGTCACTACATCTAAGTTTTCTGATGCGAGAATAAAGTGAAAGGTTTTCCATTAAGGACTTGTAAAGCGCAAACCATTTGAGATATCTCGAAAATTTTATTATTGGATTGAAATATTCTCAAAACATTTATGTATGAAATTTGTAAGCGTTGTTCGTTCGTGTACTTCACCATGATCAAAATGTTTTCTTTACTGAATGTTTTGACATTGACAGCTCGGTAATTGATTTAAAGATGCGTTCACAGTGAAAGTCCCTATTAGAAAACCCGATATTAGATTGGTTATCTTCAGGTAAAATACGTTAATCACTGATCAAATGTAATTTAATCGGTAATCAATCGGATCTCCAAGAAAATCCATATTTGTTTCAACAGGTAGTGTTAAATTATTCTATAAATCCAAACATGCAACAAGAATCGCATGTGAACAGCTCATATCATGTTATAAAATGGTAATTGATACAAAAATTACGGTTTCCAGCAAGACTATATTAATTTAACCTTGCCTCGACTATTATTATCTAGACATCTAGAGCATTTGGGAAATATTTTGCTAAATTATTGTATTATGCTTTGTGTAAGCATGGAGGATAAGCGGGTAGATAATATGTGTGTCTATTTGGAATACACAGGGTGTCCAAGGTAAGGATCGTATGCATCGGAATCGCAATATCTGTGTGGGAGATACGGCTGAGGTTAAATTAGGAAAAAGTTGCGTTCCTTGGGATGTATTTACATGCCGTTCAGGAACTTGGTAAACATTTCATGGCTTACTGAGGTATTTGGGAAAAACTAAAATTTAGCCAAATCGTTGTAATTTTTTCTGACTTTATTTTAAGGAATGTCAAAAAACTATCGCATCTTTTTCATTGGCACTTTTTAGTCACTGCATTTTTTTTAAATTTAGTGACCGTCGTTTCGTTTCTGAGAAACCATCATCACTTTATTTTTTTATATGGTACGAAAATGCGATTTTTCAATTTTTTTAAGTAGGCGTTACAAGCAAATGCTTGACTTGACATAAATACCTGTCACCGAGCATTGTTGTTATTGTGTATTGTCAATATTGCTTTATTATCGTCAGGCGGTCATTTTATGCAGAAAAGTTCCATATGCTGACATGCTACATGTTGCGCTACAAAAATACTAAATATCTGCAGAAATGTATCTTCATAAACTTCCCGAAAGAAAGCAGCCAAGTGAGTCCATTTTCTTAGAGTTGGCTCGAAATTTAAATTATGATTTTCATTCAAAAAGCCTGTTACTTCTCGAAAAATGGAATCTTTAGAGCATTGATTCCCAAAGTGGTCTATATCGACCCCTAGGGGTCTATGACAACCTGCAAGGGGTCTACGTCAGCGAAAATAAAAATTGGGGGTCCATGAAATGAATATGGGGGTCCACGATAGTGGATCTCGACACATACACTGATAGTACCTATTTACTTACATCATACTATCTTATAATATCAAAACATATACATTATTTATAAAAGTACCTATGAAGTAAAAAATTTATTATATATGTTTATAAAATTGTGTAAGTTGTAAGATGTTGGTATTCGCTTTGTGGTCGCAATACATTTTGAACTTGTAAAAACCTGAGAGTCGCAGTCTCAGAGCTTCGCTACCTTGCACTGACTTGTTCAATTCGTCACTCCATAAATACGAATGTGGGACAAATACGTTTATTCGTTTCCTGAATCTTGAACAGGAAAGTGCTAAGAAAATATTTTAAAAAATATAAACAGGTAGTATATCACACAAATTATAGTGAGTCAGTGTTATTTTGTTTGAGAGTGCTGGAGAAAAGTAAGTACATTATTTTTTATTTAAATTTTAGTTTTGTTAGATAGATAAATTACGCCAATCATGACTTTAGTTATTAGTAGCTAAATATTCAATACTGCAAAATTACACGAGTACTCCTCAATAGTTTCTTTTTGAAAGTTTTAGCAATCGGTAATATAATTACAGTGCAATCTCCGTAATTCGAGCTAATTGGTGCAAGAAGATGTTCGAATTATGGAATGTTTTCGGAAAAATCAAAAAATATTTTTAATATACACCTGCTGGATTTTCTGTCTTATGTAAATAATTTAATTTTGCCCACAGATGACTGGTGCCATGTCCGAATCTAAAAAGAAATGTAGACAGTACAGTGTTGATTATTTGAAATTTGGCTTCATTCCATCATTGCCGGACAAACAATCGCCTATGTGCCTTTTATGCAACAAAGTTTTGGGCAATGACGCTATGAAACCATCTAAACTGCAAGATCATCTGAGAAGATGCCACCCTGATAAAACACAGAAAGATTTGAAATACCTTCAAACAAACAAAGATAAATTTCAGAAGAGACCTACACTGGACAGAATGTTCGCTTCGACGTCACAAAGAAATGATGATGGTTTGCGGGCGTCTTACAATATCTCGTTACTTATAGCAAAATCCGGAAAACCGCATACTATCGGAGAGAAGTTAATTTTGCCAGCCGTTGAAGAGGTTTTAAAAACTGTTTTACACAAACCTGCATCTGATATCATTAAAAGAATTCCCTTAAGCAACAATACTGTTGAAAGACGTATTGATGGAATGAGTTCGGATATTGAAAGCTTCTTATGTAATTATTTGCAATTTCTCTATACAACTGGACGAGTCAACTTTACCTGATAATGCAGCATTATTATTGGCATATGTTCGTTTTATTATGAATCAAGAAATCTACGAAGAACTGGTCTTCGCAAGAACTTTGATAACCGACACTAAAGGTGAATCAATATTTCATGTTTTGAAGGATTACTTCATTGAAAAAGCATATTCCTTTATCAAATATAATATCAGTAGCTACAGATGGAGCACCCGCCATGGTTGGACGTTATCGTGGATTTATAAGCTATTTAAAACAAAATGTGTCAGGGGTGTTAGCAATACATTGCGTCATCCACCGACAACATTTAGTTGCTAAAAATTTGAGTATTAGATTGCATGAATCATTTAATTTAGTCATTGATGCAGTAAACCGAATCCGAAGCAACGCGTTGAATACGCGGTTATTTGCGCAGTTGTGTGAAGAAAATGACGAACACTTTCATCAATTACTCCTTCACATTGAAGTACGCTGGCTGTCGAAAGGCTTACGTTTGACTAGATTTTTTGCACTTTTTGAGACTATTTTAGAATTTCTGGATACTAAAGATAAAATTTTAAAAGAAAATTTAATGAAGAGGAAAACATACATCGCCTATTTAACAGATTTGTTTACAAAATTTAATATGGTTAATTTGCAATTACAAGGCGACAGTTTAAATTTGATTAAAACAAAGTTCATCTTATCAGCGTTTCTTGCCAGAGTTAAACTAATGAAGCAAAATATTGGACAGGGCGAATTTTCTCAGTTCCCCAATTTGTCACAGACAAACTGCCAGGAAGACGACGTTTCAACTTACGTTCAACATTTAAATGCCCTCTATTCAGATTTTGAATCTAGGTTTGAGAATATTTTGACTATGGTAATACCACCGTGGATAATTAATCCATATGGTGACATAGAAGAAACGAATGTCATAATATAGGGAACTGACTGAACTAAGTACAAACGAAGAACTTAAGGTTCAGTTTAAAAACGGATATCAGCAATTCTGACTGCAAAACAACATACCCGTTACTTATCTCGTATTATGGAATATAGCGAGGAAATTTTTAATTTCCTTTCCATCGTCATACCTAGTGGAAAGGGGGTTCAGCGCTGTTACCAATCTCCTAACGAAAAAAAGAAACAGACTGGACATCATTAGCCGAGGAGATTTAAGATTAACCCTTACAAAATTGACGCCAAATGTTGATAATTTATTATTAAAGCATCAGGTTCATCCTTCTCACTAAAAATATTGACTTATTGCTTATGTTATTTTATTTATAGTTTATTTTATGTTTATTGGTGTCTGACCAATAAATGCCCGCATTGGGAATAATTGCCCGCATTGATTTTTTTAAAGAACCCCCCTTTATAGAAAATATATATTTTTTTAAAATTAATCTGAAAATTCAAGGATAGGTACACACTAAAATTCGTTAATTTTTTGCCTATTTTTAGATAACTTAAACGTATAAGAAGCGGAATTTAATCAAACTAACAGTGAAATTATTGTAGAACATACGTTTATTATATAATTAATAAACGAACTCGCTTATTGTACTATTTTAAGTAAAAAACTTTTTATTTATTATTTTTCACTTTTTTTTTTATTTTATCCCTCTTATTTTTTTTTCAATTCGGGAACTTATTGGTCAGACACCTGTTTATTTAATGTTACGTATATTTTACATAACAGATACAAAATTTTATTTTGAGTAGTTTTAATTTAAATTCAATTAATAAATGTATAAATTAACATGTGTTTTTACTTTAAGTTTTTAACACTAAACTTCACTACAGTTAGAAATTTACAGGAAATCAATATCAGGTAAGTAGGGGGTCTACGCAACACGGAAAAACATGGCAAGGGGTCTACGACACAAACAAGTTTGGGGAACTCTGCTTTAGAGTAAACTCGGAATAGCATTTTGATCGCCTTTTGAAAAACGCCTTTATACCTTTGCAAACTTGCCCTGGGGTACAATCCAGAGTAACTCCGCAGGAGTCCGCTACACGATAAAAATACGAAAAGTATATCGAAGAACGGAATGCAGTGCCGCCCGTATAGGGGGCGCGTAAACGTGTGGGCGGCAGGCGATACGGTCGACCGGATCCCGTTACCAGAGGCAGAACACCAGTATCCGCTTACTGAAAACTGGTTCAGCGGCTCACTTCCGGCTCCAGATACAACGCCGCACCATCGATTTTCAGAATGCGTTTAATTGTCTTATACTGGGTGGCCGATATGTAACTGACTGGTTCATATCTTGACTATTTGATATCTTTTGCCCAGATACGACAATTCTGCTTATTAACAAATCCGTTCATATCGAAGTGGGCTCCATCGCTCGTTATCAGTTGTCGGTAGAAATCGTTATTTTGGGTGTTAAGCTGCAATATTGCATGACTGTATTGTCTGCGACTTTCATGGTCACAAGGCTGTAGTTCTTGTGGGCCGTTCAAGTATTACGTAAGCAGATTTATTACAATTATTTACCCCCCATCCCCCTTGTCAGCAAAAGTAAGCAAAGCTCTTACCCCCCCCATGCTTACGTAAACATTTGTCAATTAATGTATTGTTTTTTTTAATATTATAATTATAATTTGAAAAATAAGAAAATAGATTTAGGATAGAGATTATATTTCTATACTTTCTTTTCATACCATCCCTGTGTTTCTTCTGGGCAGCTGCGTTTTGAACCTTCCTGTTTAAAGACTGTTTTGCTGTTTTTATTTCCTCGCGCAACTTAATGATCTGTTTATCAACTTCAGCACGGCTTGGTATCTCTGGCCAAATACAAAGCATTCAGATTTTTTTCGAGTAGAGCAATCTTATTTTTCATAGCTTCCTGAGAAGGTTTTGCTCTCTGTTTATCTGTATTTTAATTAATTTCGCATTGCTGTTGTGATTCATTATCGGGTTTTATTTTATCTTCTTCCTCTTTTTTAATATTTGAAGCTGACTGTATAATTTGTGTTTTTTTCTGCAGGTTTACAGGTTGCCTAAAAATAAAAACTTTCTATGGCTTCTGCTAAAGATTCTCTTATTAAGCTACATAAATACAAAGTTTGGCAATATATATGGTAAATACAAAACCCTTTGGCTTTAAATATGTTTAAACGAGCAATTCGTTCCGGTTACAAAATACAGGGTGTTAGTTTTCTGTATATATGTGATCATGTACTTTGTGACCAATTGACGGAATCAATCATAAGAAATAAATCTATAATATAAAGAATATTACCTCTATACTTTGAGATAGGCCATAATATTTTCTAATCAGTAAAGAGAAACTGTTTGGCGATTTCTAATATTTCTAGTACTCATAGGTACCTAAAATGATTTCGTCACTCACCTTAGAAAAAAAATTTAGTAGATTGGATTTATTCTTAGTCGCCGCTTGCAATTCTTCTTCGATTCTCTTAGATACAATAATATCTAGTTCCTTGTCGGATTTTGCTTGTAATTTCGCCACACTTCGTTACCTAACTTTTGTACATTTTGTATTTTCGTACTTGTATGAGATTTTTTAAAACTTTCAAACAATTTTTGGTATAACTTGGATTTGTCTATGTGAAAGGACATCTTATTTAAACATTAAACTTTGGTCAGTCATCGTTGGTTGTCAGAGCGGTCCGTGGGACCTTAGCTCTTGAGTCACAGTGTCAGTTTGTAAGTCTGTCAGATCTGGTAACCCAGAAACCAGACAATTTTAAGGAAAAAAGGGGAAGGAAAGGAGAGAAGGAAGAACGAGAGCAAAGGGGAAGAAGAGAATCTTTTAGGATAGGGAGATTAAACTTTGGCTAATGGAATCAATGGTAACACAAATGTTAACTTGCTTTACTATGCTTACAATACGTCTACTCGCTATAGTATCCAAACGAAACAATACACTGATAGAGGAAATTTAGACAAGTGAACACCGCGCGGTAATTCCCCTACTCGGTTCTAAGGCGAGTACGGGAATTACCGCGCGTTGTTCACTAAACGTAAGCATGGTTTACGGGAATCCCCGAAAATGCGTTTCGTTTTCAAGCAAAGACAATGTGAGGGTTGCCATTCGTGTAAAAAAGTAAATAACTACCGATGACGTAATCATCATCTAGACTCCCCTACCCCCCATGTCATCCAAAATAAGCAAAGCAAAGACCCCCCTCAAATTCGAGAGGAATGTGCGTGGGCCGAACGCGTTCATTGTTATTAGGTTATTACTACTGCTAAAACTATTATTACATATACAGTAGAACCCCGATTATCCGAATCGCAATTTTCCGAAATCCGCTTAATTTCTCCGTTTTAACCGACGTTGTTCGGGAAATCGGCGCATGATCCGAAATAGCCGCCGTTAGTTCCCCTTTCGGCGTTTGCGTCATTAGATTCGCTGCCGGTGATTCCCCAAGCGCCTTTGCGGAATTCACTGGTATGCGTGCGTGTATGTTTGTTTCAGTCAGCTTCATAATCGCTAAGATGGAGCAGCATAGAAATAAACGTAAACGCGTTGTTATGGCTATAGAATAGAAACTTCAGGCAATCAGACGTTTAGATAGAGGTGATTTGCTTAAAAACGTGGCAAGTGATTTGGGTGTGGGTGTGAGTTCCATTTCAAAAAAAGGAACAATGCAAAACGTGTACAGTTAAAAATTACTTCCTTTGTTACTAAATATTCGTAAATATGTATGTTTGTATGCACATGTTTATATTTTACGTAACTTCATATAGGTATATACTCACACTTAACAAACGCATTTACTTTTTTAATTAATTAATATTTATTTACGTTTTATGCGAAATTTCGATTATCCGAAAGCACTTGGGTCCACATTATTTAGGATAATCGGGGTTCTACTATATTGCAATTTCATTCAAACATTAATTTTCTCTAATTTAAATAGACTATGCATCATATTTCGCTTCAATAAAATTATGCCCTATTCATAGAAATGAATCAGACTAAGGTATCAGCCATACAAGTCTGCACGATAGAGCGAATAAGAAATGAGGCTGCAAATCAGTCGATCGCCATCTGCACAGACG